GTGTTGAGACAGGATGGGAGGATGGATGTTGAGAGTGAGGATGGGAGGATGGTTGTTGAGAGTGAGGATGGGAGGATGAATGTTGAGAGTGAGGCTGGGAGGATGGATGTTGAGACAGGATGGAAGGATGGATGTTGAGGTGGGCTATAAACATGCAGAGTAAATGCTGCAGGGGGACACAAAGGACACTTAGCGTACCCAAGTTAAATCTCATTTTTTCTTTAGCAATTTAATATAATTAAGAAATGGGCTAAAAAGTCACAAGTGTTTGTCTTTCTGTGTATATATATACATTGATTAAGTAATTATGAAAAGGCATTCCTATCTGGAAAATTGAAAATTTTTTTCATTAATGAGTTTCAACTATTTTGACTAGGTAGTCTAAATAGGTGATTTTTGATGTTAGTTTATTTCCTGGTGTCAGTGCAACCCCATTAAGAGCACAGCAGGACAAAATAAAGGTTGATTAAAACCCCATCAGACCTTATCATTGGAGATCTTTTACTACCTAATAGCTGCCCAATATTCCCTTCAGGAAATTACTAGGAAATTGGCCATAAACTAGTCTGTAAACTTAAGTCTGTTTTAAGAATACAAGAAAATATCCTTTAGAATTTAGAAATTATAGTTCCAAAAGTCCATGTGCGTGAGCCTGCTTAAGCACCAGCTGGTAGGGCAGGCCCCGGTGTGGGACTCGCTGCCGTCGGACTCTGCGCGGGGCCTCTTGTCGCGCCCCGACAAGATCTGAGCCTTTACCGGGCCTCTGTGTCCTCATGGGGAATGAGAGTGGGGCAGTGTGCTCAGGATTCCTTCTGACATTTAAGGCTGTTATATTAAATGAAAATGAGACAGAGACATTCTCCCCGACCAGTTTTTTTTTTTTTTTTACCGTTACAGGAAGCTATGAGAATGCTTAAAAAGGCGTTGGAAGTTTTTTCTCATTCTGATAAAGGACCAAATGCCGTAGCGGCTTCAGCAGACTGTCTGTATAACTTGGGTCTTTGTTACATGGAGGAAGGCAACTTACAAATGGTATTTTGTGTATTTAGGAGCATAGGTTATTTGTGATTTTAGAAATTGCTTGCATTCAGATCCATTTCTGAAGCCACCTATGCGGTGAGTGACTAGACCCAAGCTACTTGGAAAGCTTGGCTTCTTAAGTCTGCACACTGCAATACTACTACATGATTTTATTTATTCAACACATTTTATTTGATGCTTGTTTGTTAAAAATATTCTAAAGACTAATGTGTATTTCCCACCAAAACAATAAATCTAACTGTAAGAAATTATTATAGCAAAATAATTTCATCACATTAATATGAATTTACTTATTAAATTCTAAGTACCTTAAATTGAGTGCTTCAGTATAATGTAGAGTAAACGGAAAATGATTAGGACACTGATTTATCTTATTGACAACTGAACAATTCAAATCAGATTGAAATTGGTTATTAAGATAGCCAGGTTCATTGAAAACTGGTTGATTCAGTTGTTATGTATTTATCCAGTATTAGGCTATCTTACACAATTTTCCACTTCAGAATTGTCAATGATATGATAAATATGTAAAATAATGGATATTTTCCAATGGCTAATGTTGGATATTCCACAAAATTGTCAAATGATATGATAAATATGTAAAATAATTAATATTTTCCAATGGCTAATGTTGGATATTCCACAACTCCATCTCCACACACACACACCATTTCAGTACTTATATTCATAGAGGTGAACAGTGTCCAAAACTTGCATCTCCATAGCCTTGAAAAAGAGTTGCATTTGATTAGTTGTTCCATAAAGAAATTCCAATAAATATAAGGTTAATTACAAATCTTCTCATGTCCTTAGCACTTTCAAACAAACAGAGCAAACTCAGCTTTGCTTTACAATGTTGAGAAAAATTTTGTATTTCTGTTGTTCTGAAATTTCATAGTATCCGCTATGGTTCTTGGACGCTCATGGAATAAAATGTACTGGTTGTGATTTCTTTGAAGAAACACAATATGAAGAATAACACTTAAAATTACACCTCCAAAAGTATTGTAATCTAACAACATGGATTATGTAGACATTAGTCTGGGAGTAAGGGGACCTGTAAATTATAATAATAAACCTGACTTGTTCATAAATATAACTTTTCTTTGCTCCACAAGGTTCTCTGGGAGAAATGTATTTAAAATCACCAAAAAAGAGGGAAAACTTTTCAACAATAGTTATATACTGTAATTTATTAACATTTTAAATTAATATATTCTACTCACTAAATGATTTTCTTTTTAACAATATACTCTTCTAGGCTTTTGATTCTTTTACAAAAGCTGTGAAAGCAAATCCTGATTTTGCAGAAGGATTTTATCAACGTGGGCTTTGTAAGGTAAAACTCCACAAGGATAACTCGATTCTGGATTTTAATCGTGCAATTACCCTCAATCCAAAACATTACCAGGTACTTAAATGAACAAGTGCAGTGATTTGGAGAGTGTGTTAAATTTGCTAAAACTATTAAATCCTCTATATGTTGTTGTTATTAGTTAGCAACAATTGATTACTTATACCTACTTTTCAGCTAACTATAATAATCCATTTTGATAATCCATACATCTGTATTTCCCCTTGAACTAAAAATATTATTTCCAGCAGGGATATTATATACGTAAAAGTGCTTTGTGAATTGTGATGTATATAAATATTGTTAATATTTTGATGAAGCTGTTAATAATTATAATTTTGTATACTATAAAATTGTTTTGCTAACACATTTATTCCTGTCTTATAAGAGACTATGGAGACAACACAAAATTCAATAGGTGAAGCTTGATTGGATCCTGATTTTAAAAGTCTATGAAATTTGAATATGGAATAAATATTACATGACTTTAGGGAAATACTATTAATTTTCTTAGATATATAATGGTAGTGTGGTTGTGTAGGAGAATGTCTTTTTCACAGGAGATGCATACTGGAAGGCTTGGGGTGAAGCATAATGATGTCTACAACTTAGTTTCAAATATGTCAGAAAAAAAAAGATACAACAAATATTACAAAAGGTTAATAATTATTGAATCCAGGTGGTAGGCATATGGGTGCTCATTGTACTATTCTTTCAATTATTCTGTGTGTTTGAAATTTTTTCTAATAAAAGAGAGTGGGAAAAAAGACTATTTTATACTATTTTGGGTGGCATAGATTTGTGCAAACTACCATATATTTTGGTAGAATTGATGCTTTTACTAAGACATCCGTTCCTGCTTTCCTCCTCTCTTTCTCTGAAAAGGCATATTTAAGCCGAGTAGCCTTCTATGGTCTGAAAGGCAGATACTCCAAAGCGATCTTGAATTGTAATGAGGCCATCAAAATTTATCCTCAGAGTGTGCGTGCCTACATCTACCGAGGAGTCCTGAAATACTACAACAAGGTAGGGCGATTTCCTGCCTTGTTCCCTGAAATTTGAGAGTGGGCGGATGCTCCCATGCCGAGTGGGGACGCACTGCCCTTTCTTTTCTCTGAGAGGAGAATCACCGTGGACCTGGTATTAACTGCTGAGCTACATACAGCACTTTACACTCACACATCAAAGGGGATTTCAGTCCGTAGTTTTTCACAACATAGTGATGTTTATTTTTGACATATACATTTTAAATAGCCTTATAATTTATTTTTATTAAGAAAGTAGTGTATATTCATTGTAGAGAATTTGGAAAATACAGTAATAAATAAAGGAGAAGATTAAAATCACCTATTATCCCAATGTCAAATGAAAATTCCTGGGAGCATTTTGGTGCATTTGCATTGTCATTTTTTTTCTTCTAATAATATATGATACATATTTTCCAAAATTGGGATTATGCTGCTTATATAATTTCTGTTGTGCCTTGCTTCTTGCACTTAATCTTTGAAGATACCAGTCTTAATTACTACATAAGATTCACCATAGTTTATTGTTAACTACTTTTTTTGTGTGT